TGAGTTTGAGTTGGATAAATAGAACTTCCATAGGAGAGTAACTTTCAAATGCCAGGGGCCCTGAAGGCCAATAACAAGAGATTTGTGATGCTTTCCATAGTTAATGACTTGTAAGGCTGTTACAATGGAATTTTCTTGATCCCAAAGTCTTCCATTATTGCAGATAAATTTTCCCTGAGATGCTAGCCCCTTGGCTAAAGATGTATATCAGCCAAGGGGAAGTAAATAATAATGGTGTTTTCAAAGTTGTCAGAGTTGAAGCTTACTTTTGTGCTACAACACAAGTCTTTAACCCTTTCCCCTCCAGTTTTCTGAATCATACCAATATTTGCAGTTGTCAAGCTCCAGTTTTCTGGGAAGACCTAGTGGGTCTCTGAGGCAAGGTCTAGTCTCTGGCAGCCGTGAGACTTTCACCATGGGAAATGACTCTGACCCTACACATTCTCGCACGCCTGAGGCAAGTCCAGCAACTATGCACAAAATATCAGGTGGACATAGAAGCTCTCTACTTGGTGGATCATCTGATCCTAGGTATGCCTCATCTAGCAAGAATACTTCTGGGATAAAGAACTATGAATCGGCGCTCAAAGGAATTGAGACTCTACATTTTGATGATGAAGAGAGGGCTCATTGATTGCAAATCCTTTCACATGTAAATTTTTACTTGTTTGGTAGACTTCAGATATAGATTGAGGCCCTGAAAGCTTATTTTTGTTTGAATTCGTGGGTTGGAAACTAGTGAATGAGCAGTTGTTATTCACTCTGCCAAAAGATCTACAGCAAATAAAAAAATCCAGATGGTGCAAATGCAGGAGGTGTGAGGTTCTGTCAATACTAACTCCAACATGGTGCATGACTCTCTATAGATGTAGGCAATGCATGCAGCATTGTCTATAATCATTTAGTTCTGTCCAACTCTAGGGGATCAGTTAAACTGTATATTAAATTTCCCCATACTTTTAATACTTTTCAGGTTAGTAGATGTGGTTCATTTAAATACAGTTCTCAAATATTAGTGTTCTGGTAATTCATGTGTAGCTTGTTGTGCAAGGATCATGCTGTGCTCATTTCTCTCTAGTATATCAATCGTAACAGAATAGGAGGTGTTAGAAAGGATGGTCATATTTTGTACTTTTGGCAGCAATTTTTAATCGTTTGTTTTCTGTTTCTTGCATTGCATAGTTGTGTAGTGAAAGTACAATATAGAGAGGTATGTAGGTACCTTCACTTGGTAACTTATTTGCTATCACAACCTTGAGAAGTGTTGAAGATAAATATGAAATACAACTGTGAGTTATACTCGTTAGATTTCTACTTTACAAGTATTTTTTTTTTCTACTAAGTGAGGATCTGAATGGCCCATATTCTCCCGATTTTCTTGTTATGCTTTGTTTATAACAAACAAGTTTGCAGAAGTTTGACATGGATGCCTTTGCTGATGTGTGATCCTTGTCGTAACTTGTTTGTGTTGTACATTTCGTATTGTTGGCGTGCATGGCCCATGAAATCAAACTAATTATTTTGATGATAAAACACATTTCTGTTCCCTCTTTGCCTTGTCTATTAAACTCTTCATTTCTGGTTCGTTGCTCCTATTCTTGTGTCTTCTCTTTAACCCCAACACTGTAAGGTCACTCTTCTCCTCCTTTGGGTGTTTGTCCACATACAAGTCTTCCGGAGCGAATTCCGATTTGTTCGGTGTCCTTGCGTGAACATTGGACACGAGATCATTTTCTTTTGAGGTCTAACTTATGAGTAGGTATGTCTGTTAATACAACATTAACGCATACCCATCAGCCCAACTCAAAGAAGATACAACCTAAAAAAGTAATAACTACTTTTAGATCCCTTTATTTTTTGATTCTTTTTGTTTTTGAAAAACAAAAATTTTTAGGTGGAAGGTGGGGTGGGGTGAGGGTGCCTACGGGAGGGGTAAATTTTTTTATTTTTTTTTGAAAAATAAATTTATTTAAATGGATTAAAATCATTTTATCCAAATCATATTTGCCAAACCATTTTTCCTCAATTGATATTTGACCATTCAAATATGATTCAATTCAACCATTTGTCACCATTAGTCAAAAGCTATTCTTGTATAGCTTTAAATGATTATCAATTTAACGTGTATACTCGCATTGTGTCCATGTTGGTCAATCTATCTCTTCTTTCATATTTCATACTTATAGATATATTGAACGTTCACATTTTATTCTTTCATATTTCATACTTCTAGATATAACTAAACTTCCACATTTTTTCAAATTTGAGATGTATTGATAATTTTTAAAATTATATCATTTTTTAGATAAGGTTTTGTGTAACTATTAAATATTGATCTGAGTTTGGACAAATTTATCATTAAAAAATTATTTCTAAACTAACCAAATTACTACTATGTGCGTAATAAATCATATGTTTTGTCAATTTATCAATTATTACTAGACATACATTAATTTGCCAAAATATTATCTTCAACGCCAACAAAATAAAATAGTAACCCGAAAAAACTTACCTGCACTTGTGTATACACTGTATTAATGCAATTGTCATTAATTATTATGTGATTTAATGAAGTAAAACACATGTTAATTATTAAGTAAGATTAAGTAAAATGAACTGTAAATTTAAACACTATTAAATTGGTGGGTGTGGGTAAGTTTCACCCCTTATCGATCAGCACAAGTCATCTTTTAATAGGTCTAATCACTTGGTTGAAACTAGATGTCTGAAGACTTGCACATTGCTTCTTTCTGGATAGCCCTAGCCAGTAGCCAACTGGTACCTGGTTCGCAACTCTTGGTTATTGAGCCTATCCCTCTAACCTTTATAACTTAAATAACAGGCATGCGTCAAGCACTACACACTACATCGATGCCCCCTGCAATTTATTAGCAGAGAGGCACTTTTAACAGCCCTATACTTTGTTCTGAATCATAACATTTTCGATACTAAACACAGATAGCTTTTTTCTTGGAAAAATTATTGCCAAACACCAATCCGACATCTAGTTAGTGTACAAAATATGCACACAATTGCAATTATCATGACTTATCTTTATCAAATACTGTCTAATATAATATGATAATCTAAACAACGCAAGTAAATTTCAACACCATTAACATGTGATTAACTCACAAAACCAACAATTTTAACGACATCATCAATTTTCAATTGACTAGCCATAAAACGAACTAGTTGCAGCATTTGATTTCATAATAATGTAATTAATTTATTACCACAACTATAATTTGCTTCAACTGAGAGATCATTTTTTTTTTAATCAGTATAACTGCAAGAGCATTTTTTATATCCAAACAATCAGTGTATAAATCAATAATAGCACGATAGAGAACAAAAATGGAGATTTCAAGACAGAAAAAGAATCTCGACGGTAAGGGAGTAGAAGAAACTAGAGACGGTAGAGAAACACGAAATAAAAACGAAGAAAGAATAAGATACCTCTAGAAAATGAGTAATATACCAGAGAAAAGAAAGAGCTATCTTGAAGAAAAAAGAAGAAGAGAACAATAGATTAAAAAAAAGGATAGGAAAAGTATCGTCACGGAGCAGAGGAAACAAGAAGAGAATTGGAGGAGGGAAAAACAACAAATTATACCTGGAGAGGACTGGGAGTACTCAAACTATACGAAAAACCTTAGTTTTCTCTGCTCCTTTTTCTCTTCTATGTTTCATCTTTCAATGTGAGATTCAAAGAAGCAGCCACTTGTTTCCTCACGTGGATCACTTTGCACCTTATATCCAAAGCAAGCTTCCCCGAAATACCATCATTTCACCCTTAAAGGGATATAACTATGCATCACTTCTTCCCTTTAAGGGATGAGAAAATGCTTTTAATAATACAGAGCACTAGGAAAAATGGGCTTCAGTAAACAAAATATCAACATATAAGAAAAACTAAGAAATGCTGGATACACCATCAATAGATGATGCACTAGATTTTTCCTGTCTAGTCTCTACCAGTGTTATTAACTTAGCTTCATCCACAAAGTCATGCATTTTATAGAAATTTGCACTTCAAAGTTCAGTTGATGACGTGCAAAGTGATCCCAACGAGCAACAATCAGTACTTTGAATCTAAATTTTGTGTAGTGTATAAATATCGATATTGTTGTATACTGAATTAGTTATGTTAGCTGTAAGTCTACATATTCTTTGAAGTGATTGAGAAACCTGTCAGGAGCTGATTCCTGCCCCCTCTACCTAGTCGCAAGTCGACAATTATGGTATTAAATTCATACAATTTGGCATTTTCTATGTGCACTTCACTTGTTGTTTTTGCATTAAAGAGACAGAATATAGCAGCAGAAAACAACACCATAGTATCAAAAAAGTAACTAGTGAAGCTGTTATTCATAGGAAGAGGGAAAACGGAGGGTAAGTACGACATACAAACTAATCAAAATCACATAACCAGAAGTGGCTATGGAATATTATGTAAGGTGGAAAGTGGATTTTAACTAGACGAAAGCAGTGAACATCTGAAGAAGATTGAAGTTTCAGCAAGGAAACTTGACCTCTTTAGCACAGTGAAGTTATTTCAATAGTTTGATAATCAATAATGGATTTTCTTCCGAACAGAAGCCCAAAACTAAGTCATTAAACTTCTGGAGAATAACAGCACCTTCCATCTTAATCTAGAAGGTCGCTGAATGTATAGATCTAGTTATGGAAATTTTAAGAATCAATTTTATTAATATGCACATCTCAGTCATGGATGAAGTTCGAATCAGAACTATTGAATACCAATACAGGCATCAGTCTAAGCACCTTGGTGGGCGGAATTAGCCGATACTGGGAGGATACGATATCGGATGGAATTATCAAGCTGTGTACAAGGTTGGACAGCTACTACGATACAACAAAAGAATAAAAATAAGAGCCAATCTACTTTGGGGGAATTTAAACATTCTTCACACTCCACTCGGAATCGAAAAATGAAAACAAGATGACTACAACTTTGTACGGAAAGCAAAGACTCATTAATGTAACAACTCTTGAATAAATCCAATAAGAAATATAACATAAGTATTACTTAATCCTAATCTGGGCAACCAGAAATGGAAATGCATCAAGAAGAATGAGACATAATTTTACTCATTCAAAGCAATATAATACAGTAGAGTATATTATTTGAAAGAAATCTATATATAACATACTTGAAAATTCTAGATCAGGTCCAGCCATAGACAACTTTGGTACACCTTTCTTTAATCCAACGAAAACTCTTCTTTATGGATCCCTTAACCTTTCCTTCAACAGTGTAAACCTTATAACTAGCCACTCTCTTCTTCCTCTGCAACTCTGGATCATTGAAACTCCAGCTCTTAGAAACTGACCCATTACTGGACTTACCTTTCTTAAACTTCACTTCCTTGGACAACTCCATCTGAGTGTTATTCGATGCATAGGAAGCACTATAACATCGAAACCCATTTGGGTTGGGGTTTGAACTGGGTTCGCTGTAACCGTTACAAAAATCACTAGAATAGCTGTACCTTTCGACTTGTCCTCTGGAATCGTTATATGACTTGTATCTCAAGTCATCCATGGTTGGATCTTCGAGTTTATTTTGTGAATTTGGGGACTTTGATTTTGGTTCACCTTTGGATTTTCCCCTTTTCCATTGTGTCGGTGGTCGTAGGAGTAGCAGCGGGGAGGTGGAATTGCATGTTATGTCCCAAGTTTTAACTGCAATTATGTCACGTTTTGCTTACCTAATTTGACCTATTTTCCCACCTAAATTATATTGGATTAATTTAAACATTTCAAAACTCAAGTGAAAATATTATAGATAATAACTTTTTAAGTTTCAATATAATTAAAATTTACATCTTAAAACATAGATTAAAAAATAAATAATTTAACTGTAGAAAAGTAAAACAAGTATTAATAAAAGAGTAAAGTTACACAGATTATTGACTTGTCCGTTGAGATACTTGTTGTATGTGGCAAAGGAATAATAATTTGATCAACTCTGACAGATATTTATGAGCATTTTCCTTTTGAATGATGTGATTATGTAAAAGAAAATTTACTCATTTTAGAAGATGTTACCTCTAGTAAATTTGGAGCTCCACTTGTTCCAAAATTTTGCATTAATACCTCTACGGACTAGAAATAAATGTAAAATTAATTGTTCATTTGTTTAGCTTTGATATATAGAAGCACCTGATACACATCGCTAATAAAAAGTGATAGGTATCTCATGATATTTGTTGAGATGCACAAAAAATGATTTCGACACCTGATAAAGTGGAGCTTATTTCAAGTCCCACTTTTCTTGTCTAGAAAAGAAAAGATTCAACCATAATTTTCTAGAGCTTTCGAGTCAAAAAAGTCTGCCCTTAATCTACAAATCCAGAAAATGGTTCAATTATTCACGCTGTTACCAGTTACGCAAAATGTCGATGGAAAAAAAGTTCTCGAAAACTCAGTTAAAAACATTTAACTTCATGTCCAAATTATACACCATTACATACAAATAGGACAGAGACATTATCAAATTTTAAATGAATCTATCATATTCTTTGTTGTCTACTTCACAGCTGTGCAATAGCAAGTATGATTTAGCTTCCTCCAAGACTTTGTTTCACAACAACAAATTAAGCGTTTTTAAGCACAATCGGCTTTGTTTATGTGTTACACTCAATTATTTACATTTCATGCTAGCATCACAGCCAAGCACAAGCAAAAGAGATGAATGAGAAATTAGAGGCGAGTAGGGATTACATTAACAAGTGCAGTTACCCCAAGATTGTATGTTACATTTTTCTGACGTAGAGAAAAACCATAAAAATGTTAAGTCATCCGCATCACCTTGTCGTGCCCTTGTGTTGTGCATTCAGAACAGATAATTTCGTGTGTCATCTGAATATCATTTGGAGTGATGAAGGTAATAGCAGGATGCCTTCGCCAGAAACACATCATCAGCATTGTTACTGGTGGATGACCAGTGTTCTCTAAGAAACAGTAGCATAAAGCTTGGAATCCAAAACATAAATACTCTTAACACACAACGATTCATGCTCTCCAGCATGAAGCTTAATGTGCACTGCCTTTTCTATTCATTACGTCGTGGTAATACAGGAGCACACACATCGGCTGACCAAGAATGCAGAAAAAGCACCAGAACATCATATTGCCAACCTAGAAAGATTATATAACTTAATGTGATTCGCTTTTAATTACATTTTAAATGAATGTAGAAGAAGGAATCAGCTGAGCATATGAAAATATAACTACACCTAAAAACATACCATCGAGCTTTGGAACTGATTTTGTAAGAAGTTTGTGAGAATGACCAAAGGAACCTGATGAAAGAAACATCGCCATATTTAATCTTCAGCATGGGCAAAAAAGATAATTTTAACATTTTCAAATATTGATGTTTTAATAGCAGTGTTCTTTGGAAACATGAATAACAATGAATTTAAGTTCTATGCACCTGATGAAAATGACTACTAACCTGCTATAATTAGTTAGACTACGCTGATAGTGTAAATTTGTAGCCAGTGTATACAATTTAAATCCAATAACATAAAGCTAAATGCCATTACCTGGAACATAATTCCAATGAATGCCCAAAACTTGAAAAGGCGACAAGGAACAGCAATACACAGCTGCAGATAGGCAGGAACACGTCATCTTAGAGACTCAGACCAGTAGTTGTAAGTTGCCATTACTGGGTTATGTTATAAAAAATGGAAGAGGGAGGAAACAACATACCTCATGGAAAACAGCAGATACAAGGAAAGCAATCAGTAACGCGACCGCCTGCACCAAGCGTAAGCGGATATTAAACTTGTCAAAGCAGAGAGTGCAAAATCATTTCAAGCAACAGGTTAGTGTTTTATCCTATTTACACTCACCAATTAACTGAGATCTGACAGATAAATACTTCTACATAAATATTCTCTTGAATTGTCAACTAAAACGTACGTTATGAAGGTCGAATATCAGAGGCAACTATTCTGTTTTTAGCATAAAGACGTAACCTTAAGGTTTTAAACCCATCTAACTGGAAATATTTGTACTTGCAGATCGACATATAGTAAAAAGGTGAAAATGCTGCCATGAGTTCTCTAAAAAATGCATTTTGAATTGAGGAATCATGAACGAACATAGATTGCTGCACATACGATGAAACTAAAAGTAGAAGAAATATCAGAAATCAATTTGGAGAGGCAAACACAAGAAAAGTATGATATATACACGAAAAAACAAAAAAAGGAATTATTGAGACTGAGAAGGCAGGTACCTTTGGAATTCCATTCCTTAAGCAGGGGAAATAAATGTGACGAACCATCCACTTATGAACAGGCTGCAATAATCACAAGATACACTGTTACTAATATAAAGGAAAGGAAAAATGCCTTGACAAAGATGGAAGCTGAATTGCCTTGTAACTTGGGGTTCTTTTATATGGTGGAATAGCAAAATTGACTTGGCGAAGCAGGACATCATCAAGGCCATAATTTTACGTGGTCTCATGCAATCTGTCGGGTGGACAGGAAATACTCCATTCAAACTCAAAGAATAGTTTCATAGAAGAGGGAAAAACACAGAACAAAGCCTATACTTTGGAAACCATTTGAGTTAAAAAACTCAAAAATATTGACCAATTCTAACAATTAGATTTAACGTACTCCCTCCGTACCATTTTATGTGAGATAGTTTGACTCAGCACGAAGTTTAAGAAAGAAAGGAAGACCTTTAAAACTTATGGTCCAAAATGAATGATAGAAATTTGTGAGGCTGTAAATCATTTCATTAAGGGTAAAATAGACATTTTATAGTCAATTCTTGCATAATATAAAAATGTGTCATTCTTTTTGGGATTGACTAAAAAGAAAAGTAAGTCACATAAATTGGGACAGAGGGAGTATTATTTAGGGTGTTCATTAGGATGGACCAAAGATGCTCCCTTTTTGTAACCTAATAGGTCAACCTGAATAGCCAAATGGACACTCATACTTACACCTATTTGTGTTCCCAGCCCTCGACTCCATGAGGTTTCATCCAGACAACTACACATGGTCAGAATTAGTGTTATAAACCCCTCTAACTGTTGACCAAGGTTATGTTAAGTTTGTGTAAAACAAGAAATCTGTTTAAGTGTCCGGATGAAACCCCGTGGAGCATAAGGGTTGTTATACAAATCAGTGCAAGCACGAGTGTCTACTTGTCTATTCAGCCTTAAATTTATTTAAGAACGATGAAATATTGAACAAACCCCAAAACTAAATGGGACATTCAGAAAAAAACTACAAAGTGTTGAACAATAGAGACCACAAATAACTCAATGCAGAAAAGCCTTTATTATACTTAGGGTAATAAGTTTCATTTTTTAAAAAATGACCCTTCTTTCTTTAAGGGGTAAAAGTTGATTCTGTTACTAACCAAAATGACATCCTTATTGCAGTTATATTTAATAACAAGTATGACAACAGAAAAATCAAACTACAGAAAATAAATAAACTAAACTATTGATATATATGTTACTCGGACTCTTCAAACATGTTGCCGCACCCATTTTGGATTCCATATGCACTACTTCTGGAGGATCTGACTCGCACATGTGTCCAAGCAACATAGATTAACTCGAAGTCCATTAAACTCACTTTAAGTAGTAACCTAAAGGCAGAATACCTTAAGACCTTCCTAAGCTTGGCATGAATTATTAGTTGCATACCTAAACTACGGCAGCCAAATGGGCGGGTTGAGCTGAATTTAGGCAGATCAAAATGAGTTGAGTTAATAAAAGGGCGGGTTTAGACATGTGTGAAGAGGTGCATGTTTGGACATATGGAGGTGCGGAGCGGGGTAGGGCAGGGAGGGTCGAGATAAAATAATTAAATTATAGAGAACATTCAGCAGCCTTAGGAAGAGCACTTGGGTGAAACCAAGAAACATAACACAACTTCTGAACTGTTGGATCAATGTGGGCAATACTACAATTAAGGAGGAGAGATGGTAGATTGTCCCAGCTTGTTTAAAGTGGACAGTGTGGAAATAAAGGAATCAAAGATGTTTTGGGGGCAAGAAGAACAATTTGCAGAACTTTAAGATGAATTGTATAGCTCATTCTTATTTTTTGTGTAAACAGAAAGGCAGAAGAACTTTTTGATGTTTTAGACTGTTTAAGACAAACAGCACAGATGGAGTCTGTTTTTAGTTTGTAATACTTTTGGAAGGGGTACTACTTTGATGTAGTATACCTGTGGTTAAATAGAAGAAAAAGTTACCTCTCAAAAAAAAATTATATGTGGGTGTTGGACTTTGGTGAGTTTTAGAATTTAAAGTGATCCCACAATTTCCTGGTCTTAAGAGTTCACTCATGTTTGGAGATCGTCATATTCATGGGTGCACTTGATATCACAGTGATTAATCTCAGCAGAGACCCATCAGGGATTTAAACTCTAGAGGTTCAATTTTTAAGGTTTTGTATTTTTTATGTTTACACATTCATATATACTCCGTAAGTCCCAATTCATATGACACACTTTTCTTTTTAGTCAGTACCACATGGAATAACACATTCCTTATTTGAAATATGTTTAATGTCAATATCAACAAATTACCCATGTTGAGTCCCCCTTATATGGCAGAAAGTTCACAAAGGTAAGGATAGTTTTGGAACATTGTCTTCCCATATTTCTTAAACTCCGTGCCTAGTCAAATTACATT